TTCAAACCAACACTTAATGGAGAAATGTAGGTATTTTCTTTCCTTATAAAAGAAGGTCTCTCGTGTAATGTTAACTGTATGACACAAGAATTTATTTTTAAAATTATAGAATTACTCTTACTGTCTATATGTGTTTTTTCCTCTGACTGATTTCTTGTTTTGCTTTATTTTTGGTTTTAGTGCTTTAGCAGCAGTTTTGCTCTGTAAAATAGTTTTACTGTCACCCACCCACCAACCCCCACCCCATCCTTCTGCATTGGAACCCATTTGTTCCCAACGTTTCATAACTGGAACAGCTGAAAGCAGCAGATATTCACCCATGTTATTATGGGATGACGAGTGCTTTTAAATAAACGAGCAAAAGGAACCCTCAACTGGATGCATGGATTATGATTAGTGTAATGTTTTATTGATCAATCATGAGAAGTTTTTTTGTTTTATCATTACAAACTGCCTAAACTCTCTGAAGCAGAGGGACAAGTGATGCGTCACCGCTCTGCTCTTCCTCTCTGTTTTATTTTTTTATTACTTAATACCAGGAGACAAATGGCAGAGCAGAAACGGAAGCCAGAAAGAGCTATCTGTTTTCCCTGACAGTGAGTCGCTTTATCCTCCACCTCCTCTGGCGTTACCAGGAATTACTTATCATGATATTCCTGACAACGCAGCACTAAATTCTGCCTCCCTCACACATTTCCCTTTAGGTGTGTATGTGTGTGTGTGTGGAGGATCTGGGACATGAGTTTATTTAAGGAAAGGCTCTGGTAGCATTTGTTCTACCTGAGGCCCACGTTATGCTTTTGGCAGCATGCAGCACTAATCACTCTTTGCACCGGTGCAGCATGCAGATCAGGACGTATTATCATCTTCATTTTTGCCAAGTAGTTTGGTGTTTTCTATTTTAATATTCACACTTGTCCTTATTTCCATACATAAATGCATTTATTTTAGTCTTTTCTATTTCCTGTGTAAAGCAAAGTTACTTTAGGATCTTGTAACCACAGATCTCCAGACACCAGCCCCTCTCTGAACTCACCGTAGACATACAGCACATATTCAGCGCTGCTGGTCCCTAGGTGGTTGCTTGCTTCACAGCGGTAGGTGCCATTGTCTGTCTTGTTGAGTGAAGTAAAGGTGAGCTCCCGCCCCTCTACAATTATTCTGTCCAGGTCAGGAAGTTCCCCTCCGTCCTTTGTCCACATCACCGGGTCAGGCCTGCGATCAAGCAACGGGGTTTGGGTATTACAAAAGAGGCTACGATCAAATACTGCAGAGTTGAATTTACTTACGATGGGTTTCCTCTGGACAAACACTCCAGCTTCAGGTACTGTCCTTCCTGAGGAAGAGCGATGGAGTTTACGATCTCCACACGGGGAGCGTCTATGAAAAGACACAAAGTTTCAGTTTCAGACATTATTACTGACAAATGATCTTTTCTTGGTAAATACGAGGAAAGTGGTAAATACCACTTCTTTAACATATGAATATATAATTTAGACAATATTTTAGTGCTGCACCTAAATCAACAAAAAATGCCTTCCAGCTGTTTTGAAATAGATAATTTTCACTGCACAAAACTTAAAAAAAAAGATAAAAAGTGAATTTCAGAAGCCACAGATTCCTCCAAAGCACCTTGGTGTTGCGTCTTGAAAGATAAAAAGAAGTCTAATTTAAAATAAATCTAAATGACTCACAGGAAATGTTTGGTTGAATAACTTGTACTCTATTTCTACCACCATGAAAGGCCTTCTTCCCGTGGACATTCTTCATAACAAACGCTTTTCTGGTTATTTTTATATTTTTCTCCAACACATTTTTGTCGAGTGCATGTGCTTGTGTGTGTGCACTCACAGTGGACCTCCAGCACTTCGGTGGCTTGCTGTGGCGCCTGTGCGAGAGCCACATGGTCCACTCTGCAGGTATAGGCCACTCCATCATCATTTCTGTCCACATGCAGCTGCAGAGAGCTCCGCACTGTAAATGTCTTCCCACTTGCATTCACCTCTTTGGCCCCTTTAAAGAGAGTTGCATACTGTCAGTGTCCAGTGCAGCACATTTATCTTTCAGGACACGAGGGCAATACACATCAAAGTAATACCCCAGTTTGGTTCAAACTAACTTTAAATCCCTTGACATTTTGAAGACAAGGCACTATTACACAACTCCTCCAGATGCAAAGTACCTTTCAGATGTCTTTAGCCATGTCCTCATCTTATTGTCATCTAGAAGTGCTAAAAATGGTACTTAATGTAAATATCTTGGCAGAATGAATGATTAGACTTATTGAAAAGCTGAGCTTAAAAACTCAAAAGCATAGAGCAGATTTGTTTGTTTCTTTACTATGAATGCTTAGTCTACCCCCTCCAGCAATGAAATGACTGTGAAGTAAGCGTGCATGATGGATTTACACTTTAGACCATTTCTTAGCTCTTTCAGAAACACCGTGTGTGTTATTAGTTCAGCACTTTAACACGTGTAACACATCAGACACACAGGAGGACAACAGCCGTACTGAACATCTATGTAGTTTTTTGTTAAAAGCCCTGACAGCTATAAAACACTAACAGTATGGTTCAACCACAACATGAAGGTGCTATTTAAAGACAGCCACCTTAATGTCTCTAAAACTATTAATGCTTTTAACCATTTTACCATTCAGCTTTTAACATGCATCCTTCTGGATGCTGCTTCTTATCCAGTTTCGAGCTTGGACTCTCTAAATATGATGTGTGTGCTGAAGATGTAGGGCCAGCGTGAACAGGTACACATTCATTTCAATTCAATTCAAAAATACTTTATTAATCCCAAAGGGAAATTAAATTGTTGTTGTAACTCATTATCTTCGCTTCATGAACAGATGCTTTAGATACTGATGGCTGTAGGCAGGAAGGATCTCTTGTGAAGGTCCATCCCACAGCAGATCTGAAGAAACTGTCCACAGATGCCGTCCGATCTTTCCACCCAGACTTGGCTGGCCTCTCGATACCTCCAGGCAGCAAGACTGCCCCAATGCTGGCAGAACTCCTCCCAGAGCAATGGCCACTCCTCCCAGCAGCCTGCTGAGCTCCTCGTCACTCTGGACAGCCAGCTGCATGTTCTTCCCTTCTGCTGTCATGAGCCACGTTTCCTGCCAGTTCCAAGATCTCAGTGGTCAGGCACTCGAGCACAGACGTCAAGGAGACGTGAATGCATCTACGGCACCTCCTTTTCAACACATTTGAGATTTGGAGCTGTAGCTGACATATTATTTGAGCTTTTGAGGTGTTAATCAGCTGCTTCTGATTGTAAAAAAAAAAAAACAACAACATCTTGTTGTCATAACAAATGTCCAAAACTAAAAAAGTTTCAGTAAAAATCCTTCCAGATGCACAGCATCCGATACCAGAGGAAACGATCATTAAAAAAAAATGTGATTTACATCCAGTAAAAGAGGAATTAAAGTTTCCATAAGCAAAATCACAGAATGAAAGTAACAGAGCTGCTCCAACATGCGACCACCCCGAGCGGCGCAATTCTAGAACAATACATGAGCAACTGTGCTCATTCAAACATTTTAATTTACTTCACTTCTTCCTCTCACTCTCTCTCTGCATGGCTCTTGGCACCACTGGGACAGAAAAAAAAGGAAAATCCTGTGCTGGTCAACTGTTTGCCTTCTAGCAAAAATCGTCATCCCTATTTATCTGACAAATGTGTTGTCAGAGCGGTTCTGGCCAACACCTGCCTTGAATCCCAACTAAATAGCTCATCTGCACTTCTTTCCCCATCAGCATCCCAATCACTGCCAGCCCAGCTCACTCAAATTATATGCATCATCTTCTGAAATTTGGCATGTCTCAATTACATCGTCTCCTTTTGCTTCATTTGCTTCTCTAATGATATCGACTTCAAACAAGTCAAACATGTCTTACTGGAGGGGCCACGACCTCTGCTTTAATCTGGAGATTGCTCCTCTGCTCCATTGATTTATTTTCTTCTCCAAGTAAAATGTCCTCAAGGTGTATAATATCTGGTAATATTTGGAGTCTTCCAGGTAACACAAATCTATTGACACTGACTGGTTGGTGTCAATTTCAAGGAAAAACCGTGAATCCACAATTACTGTCATTTTTTACAGTGTAAATTTGTAAGTACATAAAATATGGTAGAGTTTTAAAACTTGTAACTTTCAGCTCTCATACATCACATTTTTGTTTTCTACAAGTGAGTAGCTTTTTGTGTTCAGTATGCAGTGAAAATCACCACTTCCCTTACAGACTAAACACTCACGCCAAAGCCAACAGTGTTGATAAATCACCACCCCCGTTTAAGACACTTCCAGTTAACAAAGCACAGCCACCTCCATAGAAGCTGCTTTTAATGCAGTTTGCTTCCAAATCACATCTGTTTCATCAGCCTTCAGCTATCTGCTCAATTTATTCTAAAACGCAAAAAGAAAAAAAAAAATCACGCTTATCTTGACATTCAGATGTTTTTTGTCCTTTATAAACACATTGTTCCGTCTATTTCATGACCTATAATATACCAGTTTAAAACAAGTATAGGAACACTGCATGTGCAATTTTATTTCCATGATGGCCACTTGTTTGTACCTCCTAAAGAGACTGTTTATGCTCTGCATCCTCCTCTCCTCTCTGCTCAGCTGCTCTACTTTCTCAGCGTTCCTCCTTCCTGTCTCTTCTACCTCTACATTCTGCCAATCAACTATTCTGCTCAGCCATTTCCAGCAACTGAAGCAATGAGAATGGCTCCCCAAGAGATAAATGACTGACAGCTCTGCAGCATTTGCAACATCCATCCAATCAACACGAGAAAGGGGATATGGAAAGATTTCTTTATAAAGACCAAACTGCAGGAGACATAGAGACTTCACAAGAGAAGAAGGAGACAAGGAGAGGAGGAGGAGCAAGTACATGTTCCAACCCAGGAACGGCTTCAGGAAAGAAAACTGCTTCTTCTCATTTTAGTCGTGAAACTTCCTCATTAAGAACGGCTTCTTCTACAAGGTTGACTGTCATTGCTGGGGTTTCTACCCCTTCCATCCATCCATCCATCCATCCATCCATCCATCCATCCATCCATCCATCCATCCATCCATCCATCCATCC